TAATACACACACACACACTGATAAGGTCAAAATTATCTGGTATTGCTATACTTGTGGGGACATTTGGTCCCCACGATGTAGGAAATACAAGGAATATTCTCACACACACAATCACACAGATATCCTCTGTGTTTGTCAGATCTGGGACACTGCAGGACAGGAGAGATTCCGCAGCGTCACACACGCGTATTACAGAGACGCTCAGGGTGAGAGAGAGACCATCAATAATCAATAATCAATACTCCACATCTGTGTTACTGTAACCTCTGCTCATCTTCACAGCGCTGCTCCTGCTCTACGACATCACCAGCAAATCATCCTTCGACAACACACGGGTGACAAATCTAACCAAATAACTTATAATAATAATCACAGTAATAATATTTACCCTGTCCTGCTGAGTGTTTGACTGAGCACTTTGTCATGAAAAAAATGTATTTATTTATTTTGTATTTGTTATGATTTGTAGTTGCAGTGTTACATTTGACTGTATTTGAGATAATATTGTAGTTTTCATACTTTATGTTTATTTCTGTAGCACTTTCTACAATGCAAGTTGTGTTAAAACTGCTTTATCAAACGTTTTAATTGATTTATTTTAGGTAGATAAATATAGTTTTATGTATTTTATATTATTGTATATTATCATATATATTATATTTTTCCATATCATATTTATGAATATATATTTTAGTTTAATAAGTATCATTTTATTTCATTTAAAATGTGTTTTTGTCAGTTTTATTGGTTTATTTTCTCTAGTATGTATATTGTTTTTATTACACTCTAAAAAAATCCTGGGATGTTGTAACCCGACATTGGGTCAAATGTGGACCAACCCAAACGCTGAGTTAAATAGTGTCATTTTGAATTAATTGAAAAAATGTGTTGAATGTTTTGTTTGTCTATATTTGACTTAACGTTGAGTTACAACAACCCAGCATTTATTTTAGTGTGATAATTATTATTATATTTTTTAGTAACTATCTGAAATAAGTTCAGTTTTAATTTAATTTAATTTAATTTTATTTTATTTTATTTTATTTTATTTTATTTCATTTTATTTTATTTTATTTTATTTTATTTTATTTTATTTCATTTTATTTTATTTCATTTTATTTTATTAAATTGAATTTAATATTATTTTTATTTTTATTTATTATTTTAGTCTTCCAATTTTATTTTAATTAATTTAATTTAATTATTTTTTTTATTAATTTAATTTACTTTTAATTGAATTTATTGTTTATTAATTCATTCATTTTCCTTTGGTTTAGTCCCTTTATTCATCAAGGGTCACCACAGCAGAATGAACTGTCTACTATTCCAGCATATGTTTTACACAATAGATGCCCTCCAGCTGCAACCCAGCACTGGAAAACACCCATACACACTCATTCACACAAACACACACACACACACACACACACACACTCATACACTACGGTCAATTAAGTTCATCAGTTACCCTATAGTGGCGACACAGTGGTGCAGTAGGTAGTGCTGTCGCCTCACAGCAAGAAGGTCGCTGGTTCGAGCCTCGGCTGAGTCAGTTGGTGTTTCCATGTGGAGTTTGCATGTTCTCCCCGTGTTTGTGTGGGTTTTCCTGCGGGTGCTTCGGTTTCATCCGCTGCATAAAAACATGCTGGATAAGTTGGCGGTTCATTCCGCTGTGGCGACCCCAGATTAATAAAAGGACTAAGCCGAAAAGAAAATGAATGAATGAATTCCCCTATAGCGCATGTGTTTGGACTGTATGAGAAACCGCAGCAGCTGGAGGAAACCCACACCAACACGAGGAGAACATGCAAACTCCACACAGAAACACCAACTGACCCAGCAGGCCACAGTGCTAACCACTGAGCCACCGTGCCGCCCAGTTTTAGTATTAGTTAACTATAATATCACTAGCCAATGAAGTAATCTGGTTAATCTATATAACGTAACGTTATTTATCAGTGTGCATAATTTGAGGATATGAATATATAAAGACAAACATTTTCGAGGCCTTTGATTGGTTTTGTGTGTTCTTCTAGGCGTGGCTTACAGAGATCCATGAATATGCTCAGGATGATGTGGTCATCATGCTGCTTGGTAACAAGGTAAGAGAGGGCTTTCAGTTTGAAATATACAGAGGGAAAATTATTCGCCCTCCTGGGCAATATTTATTCTATATATGCAATATATATCTCGCAATTAATATTTTATAGAGCAGGGAATGTTTCACAGTATTTCCTCTAATATTTGTACTTCTGGAGAAAGTCTTATTTAGCTTATTTCGGCTAGAATAAAAGCAGTTCTTAGTACTTTTAAAGCCATTTTAAGGTCAATATTATTCGCCCCTTCAGCAATATTAGTGTTGGATTGTCTCCAGAACAAACCACTGTTATACAATGACTTGCCTAATTACCCTAACTTTACCCTAATTACCCTAGTGAAGCCTTTACATGTCACTTTAAGCTGAACACTAGTGTCTTGAAGAATATCTAGTCTAATATTATTTACTGTCATCATGACAAAGAGAAAAGAGGACTGCTGAGTGTAACTTGTGTTTCTCCAGTCTGACATGTCAAGCTCGAGGGTGATCAGAAGAGAAGATGGAGAGAAACTCGCCAGGGTGAGTCTGAATCATTCAGCACAGTTCAGCGTTTATTTTTAGTAAAAATCAAGCATTAAAAATATAAGCTTTAAAAGTGAAATAGGTGGCACAGTGGATAGCGCTTTCGCCTCACAGCAAGAAGGTCACTGGTTCGAGCCTCGACTGGGTCAGTAGGCATTTCTGTATTGGCGTGGGTTTCCTGCAGGTGCTCTGGTTTCCCCCACAGTCCAAACACATGCACTATAAGGGAACTGATTAAACTAAATTGGCTGTAGTGTATGAGTGTGAATGGGAGTGTATGGGTGTTTCCCAGTACTGGGTTGCAGCTGGAGGGGCATCTGCTGTGTAAAACATATGCTGGAATAGTTGGCGGTTCATTCCGCTGTGGCGACCCCTGATAAATAAAGGGACTAAGCCCAAAAGAAAATGAATGAATGAGCAGTGCAATATTTTAACATCTTGTTCTGCATATTTAGAGCAAGAACTGTTTGATGACACTAAATTTAGCCCCAAAATACTCATCTGAAATCAAGCCTTCAGATTTAAGATATTTGACAACAATTTTTCATTATTTCACTTTATTTTTAAACAGAATTACATCTAATTTGATCTCTTATCATTTGATATATTGGAATAAATACAGCTCAGAGTAAGTGTTGCTTTATTCTGAAATAAATATAGGTGTAAACATCAAAACAGACACTTTACTTAAATTTAATTTACTATAAAACCACTTTTATGTTATTATATCATACTGGATATATACTGTACTGGATATAATTTTGTTATTAAGCTCTACTGGTAAATAATATGGATTCTTTTGCCCATTTTTATTCACATGGACTATAGTTATTATTAATAGTTTAAGAGTACATTCATTCATTCATTTTCCTTCGGCTTAGTCCCTTTATTCATCAGGGATCACCACAGCGAAATGAACTGTTTTACACAGCGGATGCCCTTCCAACCGCAACCCAGTACTGGGAAACACCCATACACACTCATTCACACACTCATACACTACGGCCAATTTAGTTCATCAATTCCCCCTATAGCGCATGTGTTTGGACTGTGTGGGAAACCGGAGCACCCGGAGGAAACCCACGCCAACACGGGGAGAACATGCAAACTCCACACAGAAACACCAACTGACCCAGCCAGGACTTGAACTTGTGACCTTCTTGCTGTGAGGCACCAGTGCTAACCAGTGAGCCACCGTCCCATTATAGTAAATGGAAATAAGAAATATCAGAACCAATAATTCACAAATAATTAAAGAAAGGATAGAATATTATGGATTATAAATGAGGAGCTTTATTCTCATTAAGGCTCTGTTTGCCTTGTTTTTATCAGGAATATGGGGTGATTTTCCTGGAGACCAGCGCCAAAACTGGACTCAATGTGGATGAGGCCTTCATGACTGTGGGCAAGTAAGTGTCTGCAGATAGAGGCTACACTCACCGGACACTTTATTAGGTACACCTGTCCAACTGCTCGTTAACGCAAATATCTAATCAGCCTTGGCAGCAACTCGATGCATTTAGTTATGTAGACATGATCAAGACGATCTGCTGCAGTTCAAAGCGAGCATCAGAATGGGGAAGAAAGGGGATTTAAGTGACTTTGAATGTGGCATGGTTGTTGCTGCCAGACGGGCTGCTCTGAGTATTTCAGAAACTGCTGATCTACTAGGATTTTCACGCACAACCATCACTAGGGTTTACAGAGAATGCTCCGACAAAGAGGAAATATCCAGTGAGCGGCAGTTCTGTGGGCGCAAATGCCTTGTTGATGGTCATAGGAGAATGGCCAGACTGGTTCCAGCTGATAGAAAGGCAACAGTAACTCAAATAAGCACTCGTTACAACCGAGCTCTGCAGAAGAGCATCTCTGAACACACAACACCTCCAACCTTGAGGGGGATGTGGTGGAACGGGAGATTGGCATCATGGATGTGCAGCCGACAAATCTGCAGCAACTGTGTGATGCTCTCATGTCAATATGGGGCAAAATCTCTGAGGAATATTTACAGTAGCTTGTTGAATTTCTGCCATGAAGGATTAAAGCAGTTCTGAGGGTCCAACCTGATACTAGTAAGGTGTTCCTAATAAAGTGGCCAGTGAGTGTAGTCCAAAGTAGTGAATGTAAGTGAATTGGAGTGCACTAAAGGGATGCCATATTGTTAGTGGTTTCCTGTATGATAAATTCGTCAGACGCCATCTTGTGGTCATTATGGGCATCATGGGATTGAATGAGTGCACTTTCGAATGTCCACTGTGGTTTTGGACACTATTAGAAAGAGCTGCTTTACATGTATAGGGGTGATTTCGGATACAGATTTCAGATGATGTTTCTGAGCTGTAGTTATTTGTTTGTAATGTACAGAGAGCTGGTGAGACGTGCTGTTCAGCTTCCCGTCGAACCGACGTTTCACCTTCACGACGTGATGGAGCCGCAGAAGGAGACGTCAGGCTGCTGTTTCAGCTAAAACTGAGAAAACAGAGACAAACAGCAGGTGCAGACGCTCACATCTCAGCCAGCAGACATGCGCAATCCTCATTTACGTTACTGAATCCTGATATACAGTTGAAGCCAGAATTATTATCCCTCCTGTATATTTTTCTCCAATTTCTGTTTAACGGAGAGCAGATTTTCTTTAACACATTTATAATCACAATAGTTTTAATATCTCATCCCTAATAACTGATTTATTTTATCTTCACCATGATGACAGCACCTAATATTAGACTAGATATTCTTCAAGACACTAGTGTTCAGCTTAAAGTGACATGTAAAGGCTTCACTAGGGTAATTAGGGTAAAGTTAGGGTAATTAGGCAAGTCATTGTATAACAGTGGTTTGTTCTGGAGACAATCCAACACTAATATTGCTGAAGGGGTGAATAATATTGACCTTAAAATGGCTTTAAAAGTACTAAGAACTGCTTTTATTCTAGCCGAAATAAGCTAAATAAGACTTTCTCCAGAAGAACAAATATTAGAGGAAATACTGTGAAAAATTCCCTGCTCTATAAAATATTAATTGCGAGATATATATTGCATATATAGAATAAATATTGCACAGGAGGGCGAATAATTTTCCCTCTGTATATTTCAAACTGAAAGCCCTCTCTTACCTTGTTACCAAGCAGCATGATGACCACATCATCCTGAGCATATTCATGGATCTCTGTAAGCCACGCCTAGAAGAACACACAAAACCAATCAAAGGCCTCGAAAATGTTTGTCTTTATATATTCATATCCTCAAATTATGCACACTGATAAATAACGTTACGTTATATAGATTAACCAGATTACTTAATTGGCTAGTGATATTATAGTTAACTAATTCTAAAACTGGGCGGCACGGTGGCTCAGTGGTTAGCTTAAAGTGACATGTAAAGGCTTCACTAGGGTAATTAGGGTAAAGTTAGGGTAATTAGGCAAGTCATTGTGTAACACTGGTTTGTTCTGGAGACAATCCAACACTAATATTGCTGAAGGGGCGAATAATTTTGACCTTAAAATGACATTAAAATAATTAAAAACTGCTTTTATTCTAGCCAAAATAAAACAAATAAGACTTTCTCCAGAAGAAAAAAATTAAGAGGTAATACTGTGAAAAATTCCTGAATCTGTTCAACACCATTTGGGAAATATTTGGAAATAAAATTCCCAGGAGGGTGAATAATTCTGACTTCAACTGTGTAATACTCAGAGCTGGGTGGATTTCTTTTAGTTACTGATTACAAATTACATAATGAAATATGTAGTCCTTAATATAATCTCTCTTTAGATTATACACATGTATGGTGATGTAATCTGACTACTTTTGGATTACATTTAGATTACTTATTTGTTTTGTTTTTTTAATTGAGCACAATCATGCAGCATTTCAAGGTACATTGCTATCTCAGTATGTGAACTTAAGTGGTATAAAAATTACGCATATTATTGTCAGGTGTATTTACTACACAGTAATACTCAAATTTTGTAAATTATAAAATGAAAAACAGCATAAAGAGAGAAGAAAAAATAATAATTAGAAGAAAAAGATAAAATAAAATAGAATAATCAAAAATAAATGTAAATTAAAGCACTATTTACATCCAGGGTAAGAACACATGTCATAATATAATTCCCTTCAGAATAATCTCAACTGACCATCTTCATTATACACATGAGAATTTCACACATTATAATATGAATAAGTATAACCATATACATGCACATAAATTAGCATATATCAGAACATCATCTTCTATTCATTTATAGCAACAAAGTCAGGTCTTCTAACTAAAATATATTCAACCCATTTCCTCCATTTTCTCAGGAATATATCCTTCTTTAATTTGACGACATACCTTATTTGATGTCAGAAAGATTGAATCTTGTACCAATTTTAGGCATACAAAGAAAGGATATGTTCATTCTTCATAAGCAACAACTGCTTCAACAGAGCAATAAGGCACAGTTAAAGGCAAAGTATGTAATTTTGGCCACTAGAGGGTGTGTATTCACAACAAACAAAGGCGTATATTGATGACTCTGTGACTGACTGAGGAAACAATGGCTACACTGGAATCTCCATAGCCTGGACTTGAACCAGCAACCTTCTTGCTGTGAGGCAACACTAAGCCACCATGTCGCCTACATGTAATTCTTCATTTTTTTTTCGGTCACTTTATTAATCTGGGATCGCCATAGCAGAATGAACTGCCATCTTAATCAGCCCATGTTTTATGCAGCAGATGCCCTTTCAGCTGCAACCCATCACTGGGAAACATCCATAAACACTCATTCACACTCATACACTACGGACAATTTAGCATACCCAATTCACCTATACCACATGTTTTTGGACTTTGTGGGGGAAACCGGAGCACCCGGTGGAAACCCACAGGAATGCAGGGAGAACATGCAAACTCCACATGTAATCATGTTATCCATAAAAAGCAACTGTAGTTGGATTACAAATTAAATGGTTTATAATATATTTAATCCATTTCCTGTTTCCCAGTACAGGGTTGCAGCTGGAAGGGCATCAGCTGTGTAAAACATATGCTGGATAAGTTGGCGGTTCATTCCGCTGTGGCGACCCCTAATTAATAAAGGGGCTAAGCCAAAAGGAAATGAATGAATGAACAATCCATTTCCACCCAGCTCTGAGTGTGGATAATATTATTAACAAGCAGCTGCTGTCTGTGTCTGAATATGCCAACTTTATTATTACACCATGCCAAAAGTAGTACATGTTGAAAGCAGGCGGATAAAAGTCATACAAAAAACACATGCACTAAACTCTATAATAATATAATGACATGTTAGTGTTTTTATAAGCTGCCTGTATGCTGCCAATGGCTTTGGAGAGCTGAATCAGTTTTACTGCTTACCTACTGAAATTAGCCAGACAAACAAAGCTTGTTAAAGGGGACCTATTATGTACCTTTATGCAAGATACAAGATGTAAGATAAGTCTCTGATGTCTTTAGAGTGTGTAGTGAAATTTAGCACACAGATAATGTCTTAAAACTCTCTGACACAACCCTTTTTGATCCTAATTGTGGTGTTTTGGTGACTGTCGCTTTAAATGCAAATGAGATTGTGCTCTTTTTTTAAAAAGGGGGCGTAGCTACAGATGCCTGTGTTTTACTATAGTGATACATTCATAACAGGACAAACTTTATCCGTGTGAAAAAGTGAAACTTTCATGCTGTGATTACACCAGACGAAGAACGCGTGAATAAATTGCGCATAAATAGACACGTGAACATTTTGAGTTTAGTCACTTCATTTGCGCGTCAAATTCACGTCACAATAGATGTGGATTGGTGTCATAGACGGGCTTCTGTCTGCCTGGTGAATCTAGTTTTGTTTCTAAATGGCTAACATGGATTTCATTGAGAGAGTAGCTGTGTTTATGTGCTTTAGGAAGGCTCGAAAACAGCGTAGATTCATTTGGCGCCATGTCTAAGTCCATTAGATTAGTGGTCCTCAACTAGTAGCAAAGAATTCTGGCCCAGATTTGACATAAATCTGGCACAGCAGGCATTCATCCGGCACTGGCATACAGCATGTGGGCCAAACATGGCTGGGGTTTGGCTGAGGTGTCACCGTCTCTAAGGCGGCACATGAGATTTGGCCCAGATGTAAAACGTAGTACTTAGCCCAGATTTTAAAAATGTATTGTGGGCCACGTGAGTCTGGCCAGTCTTGACCCACATTTAAAATACACTAAAATAATTTTTGAGTAAAGAAAAAAAAATTAACAATCAGGTCACTTTGAGAAAAAGCATGGCCATAGTGTGCCTAAAGCGCAACGCTTCATGGGTTTATCAATGTCATTGCAATTATGACACACCAACTTATCTGGCCCAGTTCAGGCCCAGTCATGGGTTATTAACTTGGCCCAGATATGGTCCGTGTTTGGCCCTTGTCTGGAAGCCAGATTTGGTCCAGTCATGTACCGTAATTCACTGCGGCATGTGGGCCAAGCAAAACCTGATTTTGTGGGCCAGAGAAATTTTGCTATGTGGGGATCGGGCTGTGGACTGCCCACATAGCAAAATTTCTCTGGCCCACAGGTTTTGCTTGGCCCACATGCCACAGTGAATTACGGTACATGACTGGACCAAATCTGGCTTCCAGACAAGGGCCAAACACAGACCATATCTGGGCCAAGTCTCAGCCAAGTTAATAACTCATAACTGGGCCTGAACTGGGCCAGATAGGTTGGTGTGTCACGATTGCAATGAAATTGATAAACCCATGGAGTGATGCGCTTTAGGCACACTATGGGCACGCTTTTTCTCAAAGTGACCTGATTGGTAGAATTTTTTTTCTTTACTCAAAAATGAGTTTAGTGTATTTTAAATGTGGGTCAAGACTGGCCAAACTCACATGGCCCACTTATCAAATTTTTAAATCTGGGCCAAATACTACATTTTTCATCTGGCCCAAATCTTGTGTGCCGCCTTAAAAACTGTGCCACCTCTGCCAAACACGGGCCATGTTTGGCCCACATGCTGTATGCCAGTGCCGGATGAATGCCTGCTATGCCAGCTTTTTGCCAAATCTGGGCCAGAATTCTTTCATAAAATCTTTTTATTTTAAAAAATGACCGTATTCTTTCGCTTACATCCCGTCACTTGAGCGTTCAAATTTAACCCACAAGGGTAAAAGGGTCTGGGACCACTACACTAGATCCAGAGGTGCACCCAGGTTTGTGAGTTCCTCAACTCCTCCAGAAACTGTACCTGGATGATAGCCGGCAGCTAGCTCTCTGCAACTCTCACATGGTCGCCCACTGAAGCTAAGCATGGCTGAACCCAGTCTGTATCTGGATGGGAGACCACATAGGAAAGCTAGGTTGCTGCTGGAAGTGGTGTTAGTGAGACCAGCAGGGGGCGCTCAACATGCGGTCTGTGTGGGTCCTAACGCCCCAGTATAGTGATGGGGACTCTATACTGCTCAGTGAGCACCGTCTCTTGGATGAGATGTTAAACTGAGGTCCTGACTCTCTGTGGTTGATAATAATCCCAGGATGTCCTTGGAAAAAGGGGTTTAACCCTGGCATCCTGGCCAAAGATGGGGACAATTCGATATCGGTTCAGTAATAGATCAGAACCGGTTATTACTGATGTCATTTATCTCCTATGCGTGATGTC